TTGTAGGGTCAAGGTGTTGCCTCTATGGAGGCTCCATCTCCAGGAGAGTTGTGGAGTTGGGGGTTGATGGTCACCAAGGGGACAATTTGGGGGGTCTGGGGACAGTTCTGACCAGGGGATGGGTTTCAGATGAGGTACCTGATCACCTGTGAGGAGGAACCATCATCCTACGTTGTAGGGACAAGGTGTTGCCTCTGTGGAGGCTTCATCTCCAGGAGGGTCGTGGAGTTGGGGGTTGATGGTCACCAAGGGGACAGAGGGGACAGTTTTGGGGGTTTGGGGACAGTTTTGAGCAGGGGGTGGGTTTCAGATGAGGCACCTGATCACCTGTGAGGAGGAACCAACATCCTATATTGTAGGGTCAAGGTGTTGCCTCTATGGAGGCATCTCCAGGAGGGTTGTGGAGTTGAGGGGTTGATGGTCACCAAGGGGACAGAGGGGACAGTTTGGGGACAGTTTTGAGCAGGGGTTTCAGATGAGGCACCTGATGTGGGGAGGAACCATCATCCCACGTTGTAGGGTCAAGGTGTTGCCTCTATGGAGGCTTCATCTCCAGGAAGGTCATGGAGTTGGGGGTTGATGGTCACCAAGGGGACAGAGGGGACAATTTGGGGGGTCTGGGGACAGTTCTGACCAGGGGGTGGGTTTCAGATGAGGCACCTGAACACCCGTGGGGAGGAACCATCATCCTACGATGGTTCTTGTTGGGTCAAGGTGTTGCCTCTATGGGTGCTTCATCTCCAGGGTTGTGGAGTTGGGGGTTGATGGTCACCAAGGGGACAGATGGGACAATCTGGGGGGTCTGGGGACAGTTTTGAGCAGGGGGTGGGTTTCAGATGAGGCGCCTGATCACCCGTGGGGAGTGGCAGTCGGAGCAGCAGGACACCATGAAAACAGGATCCTCCACCAACAACAACGAGGAGGAGAAGTCCCGGCTGCTGGAGAAGGAGAACAGGGAGCTGGAGAAAATCATTGCTGAGGTGATGGGGGGGAACGGGGACACCCCAAAAATGGGGGTTGGGGGGTGGGTGGAAACCTCACAGGAGTGGTTGCGGGGACACCAAGGTGTGGTTGGGGGGTGGTGGAAACCACAGAGATGTGGTGGGGAACCCCAGAAGGTGGTGTGGGAGGTGGTGGAGACCCCAGAGATGTGGTTTAGGGGGGTTGGAAGTCCTAGAGAAGTGGTGGGGAACCCCAAAACATGGTCTGGGAGGTGGTGGAGACACCAGAGATGTGGTGGGGAACCCCAAAACATGGTCTTGGAGGTGGTGGAGACACCAGAAATGTGATGGGGAACCCCAAAAGATGGTCTGGGAGGAGGTGGAAACCCCAGAGATGTGGTGGGGAACCCCAGAAGATGGTCTTGGAGGTGGTGGAGACACCAGAGAAGTGGTTTAGGGGGGTTGGAAGTCCTAGAGAAGTTGTGGGGAACCCCAAAAGATGGTCTGGGAGGAGGTGGAGACCCCAGAGATGTGATGGGGAACCCCAGAAGATGGTCTTGGAGGTGGTGGAGACACCAGAGAAGTGGTGGGGAACCCCAGAAGATGGTGTAGGAGGTGGTGGAGACACCAGAGAAGTGGTTTGGGGGGTTGGAAGTCCCAGAGAAGTGGTGGGGAACCCCAAAACATGGTCTGGGGGTGTTGTGGGGAACCCCAAAAGGTGGGTCTGTTGAAGTTGAAGACCCCCAGAAGGAGGTTGCACCTCCACAGCTTCACCAGCAGCTCCTCACCCAGGGCCCAACACCTGCATGGGGGGGTTGTTGGTCACCAGGGGGACAGAGGGGACAGGTTTTGGGGTTTGGGGACAGTTTTGAGCAGGGGTTGCAGATGAGGTACCTGATGTGGGGAGGAACCATCATCCTACAATGGTTCTTGTAGGGACAAGGTGTTGCCTCTATGGATGTGGAGGCTTCATCTCCAGGAGGGTCATGGAGTTGTGGGGTTGATGGTCACCAGGGGGGACAGAGGGGACAATTTGTGGGGGTCTGGGGACAGTTTCGAGCAGGGGTTGCAGATGAGGCTCCTGAACACCCGTGGGGAGGAACCATCATCCTACAATGGTTCTTGTAGGGACAAGGTGTTGCCTCTATGGATGTGGAGGCTTCATCTCCAGGAGGGTCCTGGAGTTGTGGGGTTGATGGTCACCAGGGGGGACAGAGGGGACAATTTGTGGGGGTCTGGGGACAGTTTCGAGCAGGGGTTGCAGATGAGGCTCCTGAACACCCGTGGGGAGGAACCACCATCCTACAATGGTTCTTGTAGGGTCGAGGTGTTGCCTCTATGGACACATCTCCTGTAGGGTCACGGAGTTGTGGGTTGATGGTCACCAAGGGGACAATGAGGGGCATTTGGGGACAGTTTTGAGCAGGGGGTGGGTTGCAGATGAGGCACCTGAACACCCGTTGGGAGGAACCATCATCCTACAATGGTTCTTGTAGGGTCAAGGTGTTGCCTCTATGGACACATCTCCTGTAGGGTCATGGAGTCTTGGGTTGATGGTCACCCAAGGGGACAGAGGGGACAATGAGGGGCATTTGGGGACAGTTTGGGGCATGGGGTGGGTTTCAGATGAGGCACCTGAACACCCATGGGGAGGAACAATCATCCTACGTTGTAGGGTCAAGGTGTTGCCTCTACAATCATCTCCAGGAGGGTCTTGGAGTTGAGGGGTTGATGGTCACCGAGGGGGACAGAGAGGAACAATTTGAGGGGGGTGTGTTTTGGGGACACCCCCCCCAACACCCCTAACCACCCCGGGAGGTG